TTGTAGATTACCATTCAGAGTCAGAATTGCAGAAAATTACTTGTGATCCAACAGATTAAACTTCCGTTGTGAGATTCTGTTCTTGTTAAAGTTGAAATTGCTGTGGTTAAGCGAACCTAAAAGCATTATTATTGAATGTTTTTTTTTAATATATAATAATTTAACCATGTTCATATATATTTCTGAGTTGCGGCCGTGGAGTATCACTACGACCATGTCTGGTATAAATATATACCTATGCACCTATCAAACTATTATAATGTCCAGATTTCACAATCTTACATAGTTTAACAATTATTTATTTATTCATAGCATTTTTATAAACATAACGTTCACAAATATAATTATTATTACAGTATAAATGAGATAAATTACGTTTGTTATTATTACATGTAGAATGTAATATGCAATGATGTGTAGGAACTTTGACAGCAATTAGGTTTTGAATACGACTTTTTGTAAGTGTGTGTATGTATATTTATAACTTCTTTACACTGAAACGGCTGGATAGTTTTGGATTTAGGAAAGTAAGTACACAGTAGGTCCTAGAGTAAAACATAGATTTTTAGTCAACTGGGGACGAGCCTGGCAAAGTAGTGGTAAGACGCTAGTGTTGTATATAAACAAATAACTTTTACATATTCCACAGCCTTTACAAAAATACTTTAGTTATTTAAAATCAGAACCATGTGACAACAAAGTCTTTCCCGATGTAATGTTTATTCAGGAAGAGTATCAGGTAGTCACGAAACCGACACAAAGCTTAATAATAATATAATATATATACACTCCGCGACAAAAGTATAACCCACCCCCTAATTTTGTAATATCCAATATAAAATTATAGTTATATGAATAGATTACTAATACACAAAATTAGGTATTGGTAAGTATATTTTACAACCAATGTATTATTTGTTAAATGCAAAATTAACCAAATACAGATGATACATAAATTTTGCGGTGCGACAAAAGTATAACCCAGGTAAATTAAATATAAATAAAACTCAAGAGAAATGCAACAAAGAGCGATTGTTTATTCAATTTAATATTTAGTACTTCGATCAACATTTTGTAGATCCACCACTTTTACTTATTACTTCAATCATTCGATCTGGTAAACTGTCATATAACTTTTTAAATTGTTTTGATTCATGTTTTGCCATTCGTCAATTATTACCGTTTTTAACTCTTCAGCAGTGGTAAATTGTTTTGATCCTCAATAGACAGCTCGTGATAAGTTTCCCTAATAATTTTTAAATTATATTTAAGCCAGGAGAATAAGCTGGGCCTTCAAGAACTTGATTATTTGTTTCAGTAAAATAGTTTTTAACTATTTGTGCACGGTGAATACTGACATTATCGTGCTGAAATATAAAATTAGGACCAGCAATTCGCATTACATGAGAAGTAACCTCTTCATTAATTATGTTTATGAACCGTTTACTATTCAATTTTCCAGAACAGGACTTTATATTCATTTTTCCTAAGTAACCAATTCCACACCATATCATTGCACTACCACCCCCGGCTTGTCGTCAAATCAATACACATTTTTCTTTTCTTAAATCGTGAAAATAGTAATTAAAACCATAAGGCTCATCTAAATTAAACTTCTTTTCATCAGTGAAAATACCATTTTTCCAATTCTTCTTCCATTGAACATGGTCTTTTGCAAATTTACTACTCTCAGAATTGACCTTCTTTCAGGTGGTGTTGTTGCCCTTGGTCGACCAGTCCTCTTTCTTTTGCCATAATTTTCAGGATCTTTTAGAAAATTACGTACAACACGATGACTTCTATTGATAAATTTTGCAATTCTAAATTTCGACCAATTTTTAGAATACAATTTCCTAACTAAATTAATTCCACTTTCCTTGAAACGTTTCCCACGTGGCCTTTTATTTTAGAAATAAATAAATATCAATCGAAATAATTTTCTAGTACGAATTAATTTACGAGGAACGCAGAACAAGTATAAAAAGGAACTGACACGTCTAAAACATGAAGCTGTTCAAGCCAAAGTAAGTTATGGGTTATACTTTTGTCGCACTATCAAACTAACAATCACGCCGTAATATAAGAAAACAACTTAGAATGTAATTGAACACATATTATAATACTACATACAAATAAAAAATATTAATGCAATAGTAATATATCAAGATAAATTAGTCTTACATTGGATATTACAAAATTAGGGGGGTGGGTTATACTTTTGTCGCGGAGTGTATATATATATATATATATATATATATATATATATATATATACAGTTTCCCTCATATTATTCCCATTATTACATGTTACCCTGCGGAATACGTGACATTTGAGTAGAATGATAAGATAGATGAAGTGTACGCACTGGTGGATAAGTTATTGTAATTTTATGTAGAAATATACTTGAAACGACTGCTAAACGTAGTAACTAGGACCGCAATTAAATCATTATAGGAAATATTTAATATTTAGGTGCAATTAGGATATTTCGATGAACACCTAAACCGAAACTTCCTTTGAAACTAACATTTTTTATAGTCAATTTTATTTAAATTTAAGTATATAAAACATGTAAAACTTGTTTCTCTGTCTATCTCACAATAAAATGTGCGTGTTATATTTTTACCTTTTTTTTAAATAACATATTTTTCTCGAGATGATTTATTAGTATTTTAGTAAACTTCCAGAGATTATAATATTATATCTTTACGTAGGGTATAATCTGTTACGAGCAATCAAATCGAACTATTCCATACTGATATTATAAAAAGTAAAGTACCTAGTTTGTATGTGAATTTCTGTCGGAACTGTGTTTAGAAATAAATCGAAACAAATTAGAACCATGAGGGAAACCATGCCACGGTCCAATTCTATTATAATAAATAATTATAAGAGTCCTCGCACCAATTTTTTTTTCAGAAAGTACACAAAGTACGGATATTTTAATACCATTATTATTGATCTTGATGGCTGAAAGCCAATGTTGTAGGGAAAAACGCATCCACATCAGTTAAATAAAGTCGCGAAATAATTAGAATTACATTATAATGTTACCATGTACAATTTAATATAATAATAACACGTTAGAAATAAATTAATATTGTTTTTGCATACTTCAACAAATTGCATAAATATTAAAAAAATAATTGGTACCTACTTAAAGTAAAATCTGGTTTTATGTTTAGTACTTTATGAAATTTCATAGTATGTGAGAGTATCCTTTTATAATTGGATTTTTCTGTAATATTATTAATGGCAACGTTTGTATGTTGGTTGCTTATTCACACTGAAATGGCTGGACGGATTTGATAAAATTTACTGAACACAAATAGACTTTGATCTGGATAAAAAAAACATAGACGAAGTCAGGGCCAGTCGCTGGTCACTAATAAAGTTATAAAATATTACACTAAGAGCACAATTTGAAGTCGCATCCTTCAATTGACTTATATAATTTACTTGTTGCACTGTTCATCATCGCCCAGTAAATAACTTTAACTATAATATCAAGAGTAACCGTAAAGAATGGATTTTTTTAAATTCAAATCGTATGGGGGAAAAGAAATAAAACTAAGGTATTTCGAAAGACTTCTAAGACTATTCTCAAATAATATTTTTACAAAATAACCACTTGAAATGTTCTGTTAATAGATTTTGGCAACAAATGTGACAGTGTGTTAGCTGCTTATATAAAAGATAATGACAAGTTACGTGTTTTAACGACTGTACGTAATTTATTACGTAGCCACAGACAAAGAATTAAATTGAAACAACACAAAACAATCACAATTATAGTACATTTAATATCTAATATATAAATATCATAATAGTCTGTAGACGTTTTAAAACACTGTGTACAATGTACATAGCATATAGTAGGTATATGCTATATACATTGTACACAGCGTGAATATACATGAATGTTGTAAGTATAACGTATATGCCATAATATTATATATTCATACCTATCACAGCGACTACGCTTTTATTAAAAGTAGAGGTGCCATCTCTTGAACTAGTGTAGAAATTATAATACGTGTTTTATAAGCCTTATTAAAAATTAGTTAAACAAGCGATGGACAGATGGCGCTAGGTACGTTTTATTTACAAGTTTACTATTATAATAGTAGATACAGCTTTTTTATAGCACAAATGTAGGGTTTACACTTTGAAACACTTATATGTATTATGTAGATTAATATTGTTATAACTATATATATATATATATATATATATTATAAAATAAAATTGTAGCAGAGCAACTGAGGCTAATTAAAATCAAGAAATCATTTTAAAATTTAGCAGAATCATAAATTTTTTATAGTATAGGTTCATTCGATACTTGTACTATACATTTGATAGTGTACACTTGTGTTGTTGTTTAATATACTCCTCCCTATATTCTACTACAAATTATAATCATAAATATATAGGCAAGAATAGATGAAACTGAGTAAGTATGTATTAGAACCGGTTTACACAAAACGGTTTGTATAGGTAATGTAATGGTTAATTCATTGTATGTTCATTTACCGGTTAATGAAAAAGAAGGGTTTAGTAAGCCAAAATGATAATGGTTAACGGTTATTCTTAGAGAAAGGTTTGATTTCAGTTTTAATACTGAAATAAACCGGTTAATTTATTCATAAGTAAGAAATGTACATGTATTTTTCTACTCAGTAAAGACTTGCTGAATGTAGGTAAACGCACTAAAGCCCATTTTAACCGGTTATTTTTTTAAAATTCGTCAAAAACCGTTCTCAGGGATTTAACCGGTTAAAGAACGTAACTGAAACTTTAAGCCGAAAAGCCTTTCGGTTTAAATCATGACCACAACCGGTTCAAAAATTGAACGGGTTTCCAAGCCCTGACTTCTTCACACTGTAAAGGCTCAACTCAATTCGGAATGTTTACACCTTGTATCTTGGATTTACATTTTATCAATCAAGCACACAAAGAAATCTGCAAGTGAGAATTAGTAATAAATAGAATGCACTTACATGATTTGAACTGTTGAGCCAAAGCAGCACTGTCTGCAGCATGGTGGTAGTCGTATAGTGAACGACCGGCCAACTCTTCCGCATCGTACCCTAAGCTGTTCATTAGGCTGCAACAATAAGATATTGAATTTGTAAATTGTATTATATTATTAAAATTTCTAGTAACTAATATTATGATATGGCTAAACTTGTGAGCATGTTTTTTTTTTTCATTTAATGGAAATAAATATGAATTTGAAGTTTCAATCTATATTTTTTCCAAAAAAAATTTACCATTTTTTTTTGTTCTGCCTTTGATATGCTGCTTGCTTTATGAAAAATAAAAAAAACAATTACTTACAGGAAAAAATAATTGATACATAATAATTAATATTAAAATTTGTAGATAATATTTATTTCCAAGTTCATGCATATTTTAAGAATTTCAAGCAAATTTGAACTCTTTAAATGATTTTTTCAAGTTAATCTTATTTTTAATATGAACAATCTTATAACCGGCTAGAAGATTAGTTAAGAAATATAAATATAAAATTCCTTATCATATTTTAAATTAATATTTTAATCATATTTTCCTTAAACCGATTAAAATTATAAATTAAGTAATTTATTCATTGAATATATACTACTGCATTTTATTTTTCCAAAATATCCTATTATATATTATATTTATGATGTCCCATGAGCTTAACTTTTTATACATAAAGCTTTAAGTTTTAGAAAATCCCATGATGATATCAAAGGTCATCCCCAATGTGACCTAGAGTGCATAACATTAGGTTATGTTAACCGGTATACACTTAACCTTGAATGACCTATCGACAACTTTGTCTCAACTTCCACTAATATTGACATGGACATATGTTTCAAAATAAAATAACATAAGTATTTATTACGAGTATGTACTAGCAAAGAATTCCATGAAAATGACTTACAGATTTTAAAAAACCCGCCATTCTTTTGAAATTCGGCCACACAAAACTAAAATCAATAACAATATTTCCCAAAAACACAACACAGCACAAAATAAGCACAAACACTTCACTTTTCTAATATCACAAATCCAACATCCGTTCTTAATCGTGTATTAAGTACAAACCGTATGGAACCGCGAATTCGCATCATGTTTAACCTACAAAATACATTTGAAGGTGATATTTTTGTTGATATTATACTACCAAATAAAGTAAATCGTTCCGAATGTCAAAAGTCGTACTATGTCAGAAGACTACCTAAATTTTGTCAGGTAATACGTATACTCTATTGTTGTACAGCGCCATCTATGACTGTGACGGTGAACTAGCTAAGCCTTAAGATAGAGAGAGCAGTAATGGTTTGTTTTTGTCGTAAACTGCAACAAGTAGGTAATTCGAGGGGCTTTCGGCAAAATTTTGGATACTTCTGAATTACATTACAACTATTATTGTATTGTCAAAATTTCATGCTAGGATATTTGTAATAAACTCCTAATTCTATAAAAACATTAAAAGTAGGCAGTAACATATATTATTTTATTTTATAAAGCGGTATAGTATATACTGTGTACATAATACGTGCAAAAAGCATTTTTAAAACCAATAAGAAACATTTTAAATGTTCATGTCAATATTTGTAGTGGGTATGTTTAATAATTTATTGGGACATATTGGTATCCTTACTGTTATACATTAAAGAACAAGCAATAATTAAAGTTTATTTTTCAAATAAGTAATTTTTTTTGTAGTTTTCAAGAAGATGAATTATGCAAAACGATTAATATAACAATAACTAGATTAATATATTTTAGGAGATTAAGGTTTTAAATCGAGATTCACAATAAGTATTTCATTTAAAATCTATAAAAAATAGGCAAAGACAAAAAAATAGTTAAATAGCTTTTTCTCTTTTGTTTGTCAACCGATTTTCTTTTTGTTTTGTTTACATTTTGACGAGCTTAAATACTATCAATATTTTTTTTACGATAGCTTTTTTTAATAAATATAGGTAAATTCTGTTCATATTTGTTTTTCTATATCTTCATAAATGATTATGGTCGATTTTCAAACACTATTATAAATGCATGAGCATATTATAAACAAAATATTAACTTACCATTCATCGGAGTAAGTGAATTTCATATCCAAGTTATGTTTAGTCAGAAACGTCATGCTATTTAACGGTATTTCGATATTAGAAGGATGTGGAATTGGTCTGCCTACAGCCACAAGAGCACCGGATTTTGTGTATTTTTTGATTTCACTTTCCTTCTTTTCATCTTCAGAGTCTACTATCTGCTCTTGCTCTTTGTTGTTCTCTTCAGAATTCAGCATATGACCGGTAACGTGAATCACCTATGAGAAAAGAATAAATATTAGCATTTTAGTTTTTCTACAGGAATCTTTAAGATATAAGCATTAACTAATATATGTAAATTAAATACAGTACTACTTCCGTCGATACATTCGACTATGTATTTCCGGCAAAACGGTTGTTTTCGTTAGTTTCAGTATATTATAGTCTGATTTTTAATTCCACGGAAATATGACAGCTGTCATTCTTTGACAATTCAGATATCATAAACCTTTTCTGCTTTGTATTTTTTAATATAAAATAACAAAACATATGAAACAGAATTAGAACAAGTAAACTATATGTATGACATTGTAAATAGTCTTTGTTTTGTGCATTCAATGCACACTAACTATAATGTAATTTTTTTTAATGGTTAAATGAAAAAAACCGAGTAAAACAAAATATAAGAAATGAAAATATTTACTAATCATTATTACTTATATCATCCTTATCGTCATCATCCACTCGGATTATAAAAGAATCACTCACACTATCAGTCAGATCATGAAGAGGGCACATTTTATCCTTTCCTTTTATAATATAGTTTATGAATTCTTGCCAAAAACAATAATAAAAAATCGTGAACGATCGTTGTGGACCTGTTTTTTTTGGGACTTTCCAATTCTTTTTGCCAATTGCAAAGATTTTACAAACAAAGGGGTTTTCTAAAAAAAGGCTTGCAACCTATGTATTATTGAACAGGGATTCCTGTAATAGAAAAATAATTTCCTTCTAACTTCGATAATATGATAATAAAAAAATAATTAAAATTTTAGAGTTATCAAAAAATTATTAAGTTTTAGTTATTCTAATTAAAACCTTAAATTCAAGAAAGGTTTATTTTTTTATTTTGCTAAAATGCTTTCCGTTTTTAGTGACAATGTTTCAAAGTTGACCACATTTCTGAAATGTCAGAATTCCGCCGAATTAAAAATCAGACTATAGTTTATAATGATTATTACTTTAAGTATAATGCCTTATGCTATAAACTTATCTGACCAGGTGGCCAAAACTAGAACTACGTGTCGCCATTTTGAAATGTCATTTTGTTGTCAAGTGTTGTCTTGGAATCCAGACTCTAAATTACCCAAACGATTATCTACATGATCATAATTACATATAACATTAAAATATAATTCATAAAAAATGTGTTTTGATATTATTATTCCTTATTATATTATGTTGTATAAACAATGACTAAAACAGCAAATTAACATTTCGATTACTCCTTGTACACTTGGAACTAAAAATTGCGGAAATTCTCTTTAGCGGCAATACTAAATTCAACAACAGCGATGCCGTTACCGGGTCAGATAAGTTTGTAGCACTATAAATGATTTGATGATTTAAGCATAAATCAGATTGTTTCAAGCGGTATAGAAACAAGATTATTTATAATTTGTTGGAACAGTCAAAAATCTTTGCATCCTCTTGAATCTCACTCCACTCTCTCACACCATTCTTTAATTTCTATCGCGATAATCTCACGGATACTGGTCGACAGCACAGTAATTTGTGACTGTTGTGGGACTCTAACCCGGAACCTTCGGATCAGCAGTCGTACATGATAGACATATGACCACCATCGAAGCCATCAAATATGGTGTTGCTCACACTTAATTCATCCTATTTTTTTGAACAAAGTCACATTGGATAAAGTGTTTTGTATCATCTAAACACTTAATACTTTATGGATTTTGTCTTTGGTGACAAATAAAATGTTTCAGCAGGGAATATCCCTGGTTTATGTAAAATAAATAAAAGAAACAATATATCTCAAATAAATATATATTTTAATAACAGAAAAATGTATTTATTAAGTAAATTACCACAAATATGATAATATGTTTGTACCTTAAAATGTTTTTGATATGTTTATACCTTAAAGGTTAAAAATATTTTTATTTACCGAACTTATCACTCCATAGTATAAAAAAAATGGCTTCCCGCTGTCCGTTTGTCCTTATGTATGGTTAGATCTTTAAAACTACGAAACGGATTTTGATGCAGTTTGTTTTTAATAGATAGAGTGATTCAAGAGGAAGGTTTTAGTAAATAATTTGTTAAATTTTAAGATTTTAATATATATAACGATATTTGTTGGAGGTGTCGGAAAAAATAAGCCGTCTGGGATCTTTTAACGAAAGCGCTGCCTAAGCCCTTTGAGATATAACAAAATAATGTATGGTGGAATTGTGTATCTTATATTTCCCTACAGAAAAGTCCGTACCTAGGGACGAACCCGAGCGGAACTAGGGTGAGTCGCTATAGGATAAAAAAATTACAGCGTTCGTCAAGTGAGCTGAGCCATCTATCGTCTATTCAGATAAAATAAAAAACCCCGAAGAATATACCTGAAAATAGGGTCACCTATAGGGTATCTGTATTAGTATATCAGTATATTATAATGTGTGGTGTCATACCTCTTCGTTTTTATGAAAGTCGTAAGTCATTTAAAAACGCCTCAAACGAGTTTTAAGTTGCATAAATCATCATTAATTGCCATAATAGCTTTATAAGCTAATTTCTAGAACAATAATTGGAAATAATAAATATAATATTCACTACGTGCACTAGGCACGTAGCATTAACTTTAGGTTTTTAACCGACTTACAATTTCAAAAAGGACTTCTTCCTTTCAATTCGTCGGAATCTTTTTTTATGTATGGTCACCGATTACTCGAAGACGCCTGAACCTATTTGAATATTTTTTTTCTTTCAAAGGGTATACTTCCCAGGTGGTCCCATATAAATTTTAACGAAATCGGTAGAGCGGTTTAAAAAAAATCATCAATAAATACTTATTAAAATAAATTGTTTAATGGAATTATTATGTTATTAAAAAAGTTTCTTCTTACAAATTACCTGCTTATTACGTCTACACTAAAAATGGAAAAGTAAAAACTTTTTAACAAAAAATAAAAACCGCCTTCCAGGCACTAAAATGTAAAAAATAACTAAACAGAGGTTTTCATTTAGAAATAGGTACCTAATCAGATATTTTCGAAGTCGGTGCCAGCCTACAATATTTTAAGATATTATGAATATCTAATAGGTAAATATGTATTTTACGTATCGAAATGTATTAGATTTGTTTTGCATCGGCTGGCACCGACTTCGAAAATATCTAATTAGGTATTTCTAAATGAAAACCTCCGTTTAGTTATTTTTTACATTTTAGTGCCTGGAAGTCGGTTTTTATTTTTTGTTAAAAAGTTTTTTTGTAAAAACATCAATGAAGCATATCTTAAATTAATTCTGATTTTGGTGGTTCAATTTGGGTGATAAAGTAAATAAAAAAACCTCTATCAAAAGTATAATGTCAGACACAAGACATAATGTTGAAACACAATTTTAAAAGGATATAATGAAAAAATTAAGGATTTTGTCAAATCTACAGAAATTATCCTAATGTACCTACTGATTTACACGTAAGACTTTGCACTTAACCATTTTTATAAAATGAACAGCGACATCGATTGTGGCGATGTGTCTAGCTCTAGTCGTTATTTACATAAAAACCTAAGTTTTATTTCAGGATTTCAGATCCAAAAAAAATTCCTATCCGGGCATAAGTTGTGTCGTTTATAATACTATACACTTTATCGTTATCTATGCCAAATCTCTCCTTGCATATAAGTCAGTAAAGTGTAAAATTTCGTGAATTTTTGTTAAAGAACATGATCAGTGATCTCATTATTTGCTCACATAGTTATTGCCTGTTTATATAAAAAATAATATCTTTTTAATTAATTGATGGTTTTCGGTTTCAAATAAAATAAAAATAAATGAGATTGCTAACTTAACATATAACTATAACAACTATTCATTCTGCACTATGTCTATGGCACTCATATAGAATTACAAGCGGCCACAATAGCTATTGTAATTGAATAAGCAATCTTGCGATCTAGTTAGGGATATTAATAAATTTACATAGTATTTTTTAGGTTTTGACGTCAAAGCGACAAAAACAACGTAGTAAAGCGGGGGAAAATGCGTCTTTAATTATAATTATTAAAAATGTATATTTTCATGAATAAAAAATTACGAAGTGACGTTATGCGTACGTAAATATGTATTATGTTAACATTTATTTTTGTATTATTTTATTATTTATTTATAACTTATTGTTATTTACTTTGTAATAGCTATAAAGATAACATTATAGATATTACTGTTTTGCATAAAATTGTTAAGAAAAAAATATATATTTCATTCACACATTTCACACGTCCAACAAAATTGTTTAAAAGAAATCTATAATAAACAAATAACTATAAAAAAAAACTATATATACTTATTTTGATGACACGTTTGACTCAGTTTGTAGTGACCCTACTTGCTATGCCAGCGGTCGCGGGTTCGAGTCCCGCTGGGGGCATTCATTTGTGCGATGAGCAATGATGTTTGTACTCCAGCCATGGGTATTATTAAATAACGAGAAACAAATTATGCTATTTAGATATCCATATATAAGAAATCTAGAACTCTGTATAGATGTTTATATAAATTACGTATTTATTAAATTACGTTAACATCTTTTTCAAATATTAAATGCCAGAACAAAGAAACTTGAAATAAATATATGAAACGTGTTAATTGTAGTCGAAAACAACATGCTACGGGTCAAGGATTACAGCAAAACATGTGACGCTTCCATATCACAGTATTATAAAAAAAAATACCTACAACTTATGATTAAATTATTATTATTTTATTATGTTAAACAAAAAAGCCCCGCTTAGTTGTTTTAAACATTTTGTAACAAAGAGAAAGTATTTTTTGAAACAGATAAGATTAATTTATATCTATTAAACTAGCGACTCACCCTCGCTTCACTCGGGTTCGTCCCTAACTTGCGTCTCCATACAAACTTTCATCCCCATTCTCATTAAATAAAAACAAAGTTCTTGGAAAAACTTTTCCGTCGAAAATATTAATGATAGGCATGATAATTGAATTTTATTATATATCTATGAAATACTGAAAAAGAAACGTTGGCTCATATTTATAAAACTTTCTAAAAGGCTGATTCACTAATATAAAATTTCAGATAGTTCAGTTACGTAAACTCAATGCAAACATTGCATAAAATACACATATATAAAAACCTGATTTACTCGTACGATCGATGTACTAGACAAGCGTTTTTATGGTTATCAAATATCTATGTTGTTATTTGACGGATTTAATTTTTTTCATGTTACGCTATTCATCTACTAGTGGACAAATTTTTACGATTCTTTCTAGTTAATATTATTACGAGAAAAGATTTGATGTTTTGTATGTTTCTTTGTAATGGATAAACTTTAAAACTACTTAACCGATTTACCGAGGGATTCCTATGAAAATTGCAATAATGTAACCTAACCTACCAAAAATTTGGATATAAAGTCGTTATCATTAGCCTGAAGGCTGGTTCTATTAAATTTGAAAAAATAAAGTCAGTCTAGTAGGTACTATGGTCTATATTTTAATGTGATATAATATATTTTTTTTACTTCCAGAAATTAAAGTTTTTCCATTCAGGATTAAACGGAGGTAATCTCAGAGTGCTGCTGATCTCAGAGTGTGAGAACTGCTAGTAAATAAAAATACCTTGTAAGAAGCAGATTTTAAATGCACATTTCTTCCTTTGCTGGTCAGCGTGCATTTAAGGCGTAAAAGTAAGTCTCGTTTCCCGTCTTTCCCTGGGCGTAATGCTTCACGTATCTCATCGTGATCACAGGGGTGACTGAACTCGAACACGCTCTGCCCCATAATCTCCATCTGAAAAATTATATAACATTACAATTTTTACTTCGTACGAATTGTATAAGCATGTAAATTAACCTTTGGTAATTTGCGTTCACATTATCTTAACGTGTTATGGCCGCGAATGTTTGTAAGTTCTTTGTTTTTCTTAAAGCAGCAATGTAATAATGAATTAAAATGATTTTAGAATGGCTAGAATGAAATGTTTTTGGATACTTTTTCCACGGTATAATATATTTTTTTTTAAATTTTTAATGAGGAATGATTGAATTTTCAGCAGGACTGTCTCCTGAGTCGGTGGTATTCCTCACCAATACGATCATTTGACTGAAATGTATTAATTGACAATGGACAAGTGCCAGTAAAAATGTATTTGACTAAAGTAATTTTTAAATGGACTTAATTTATGATTTTGACTTAATTCCCGAGAACGTGTCAGAGTTATAGGTACTTTAGTTAGAAACGCACCAGAACGAGGTGAATAAGTGATTCTGGTAATATCACAGAAATATATTATGTATCTCTGTGAGTAAGATTACAATTGAAAAAAATCATTTTTTGTCAGTTACCTCTCGATTATTAATCAAAATCTCAATCAAACCTCTCTAAGCCCAACAAGTACAAGCTGTGAGATATGCTTATATTTCAACGGCCTTGATAGCTTACGATATCGTATGTGAATCCATACTAATATTATAAATATGAAAGTGTGTTTGTTCGTTTGTTTGTTTGTCCTTCTTTCACGTCGAAACGGAGTGACGGATTGACGTGATTTTTTGTGTGGAGATAGTTGGAGGGCTGGAGAGAGTGACATAGGCTATTTTTTACCGCGGGAAATTGTCTCATTCCCACGGGAAAACATGTTATAATACAACCCAAAAAATATTTATGATCAGAATTACTTGAAACTTTGTAATTATACTCTTCAATACAATTAAATACATGTTTTAGCATTTTTCGAAATACATCCCACAAGGGGGGAAAATAGGGGATGACTTTTATCGCGAGCGAAGCCGCAGATTCTGTTAGTACTTCATAAAAGTAAAAGTTACTACATTAATACTGATGTATTACATACCACATCATACTAAAGGAAAGTATGTATAATTTTAAGTCGCTCGTAAAAACAAGCCATTACAAATAATAATTGTCATTTGGGATTCGAACTCCTGAAAGAAAACAAAAATTGTTGAAAGCATTTATTTATAAGCTATATTTTAGCTTATAAATAGCAGCCTATTTACCATACAAATAAAAGTGTAATATTTTTTGACAGACGAAAAACCACATAAACTTATCAATGGTATACTTTCGCACCTTTGTGTGTAATTTAGGAAGCGGAAATGTTTCTGACAGTAGAGAAATAAAGTAGAAAGCACTGTATGTAGTCGAATATAGATTGCATTTTGTATGAATAATTATAAATAAACGTTTTACAGTAACAGCTTTAAGCGGATTGTTTGTAATATAATAATAAATTTCCTGTTTTCATATACTTGGTATCAATTAATTACGTATAAAGAAAACAAGTCCCTTTCGACATGATGCACTGCAATTTTAGCGAATTTTTTTCCTTTTCAATGGCTTCAGTCAAACTTGCTATGTAATAATATTTCAAACATTGAGTCATGAAAGATAGAAAAGATAAAAATGTTAAAAAACAAGCAAGATATATTAATCTCATAACACTATAGTTAATACCAAAATAAATAAATGTATTGTAACGGTACTTGGACCGTCACAACGGTACGCGTATTACGAGTTTTACGAATTTATTTACTCATAAATATCAAGTTTTATGCTATACATTTTTTAATAGCGGGCGTTAAGTTTATGGAGCCAGAAATATGATTTAATTACTTTAGTAATTTCCAGTAGCGAGATTTTAATATTGTGGACGACGTTATCGAGAAGTCAATATCTTATACCTAAAAAATGTAGATCGTGAATTGCCGTATAAGGCGGTCTTGTCATATTATACATACAATATTTAAAAAAAAATCGTCCTCCTTTAAAGAGGAGATAATGCTGGACGTATTTTGACCGGTATATATTTTTGCTGTCGTATAAATGCAATGTAATACAATATAACAATGCGCCTATTCTTAAAATAGTACAAAAATAACCGTGACTAATAAATATGTAGTTGCTATGGAATTCTTCTAACAATGTCGTAATGTAACTTGAGGTTTGTGCAGTTAAACAATAGTACCTATTAAATTATTTTAATATGCGTTTTATTAAAGAGACGAATTTAATTAAAGGAAATACATAAGGACTGAAGCTAGCAATACAATTAATGATAACAGTACCCCTAAGGCTTCTCCGAAACGATTCAAAATGAATCTGTATTGGTTTTCCCAAAATAATGTGTACGCAATGACGCAAAGCACAATATTAGAATGCACAAAGCATCGACATACAATATTAGCGCCAGTAGACTTTAACAAAGAGCCAGTCAAACTCTTAGCGCCTTCACTTAAATTTATTTGTTTCTAACGATTTGGGACCAATTTTGTATTTAGATAAGGCTTTAATTTTTAAGTTTACCTTTATAGATAAAATCTTTTCTGAAAAAAAAAACGCCATTTTTATATATTTTCCGAATCATCTAATCATTTTATCTGACAATTGTAAAAACTACATCTAAATAACAACATACTGATTTAACAAAGTTTATTAATTAAGAATGCTATAATAACGCTATATTTGCTAGTCATTCACTCATAAATAAATAACATATTTGTGCACAATAATCAGGTTTTCAATCGACAGTCGTTTTGAAGCGGCATTTTAATACTTAAATAGTTTCGTATTAATTAATCAAATAAAATAATTAACACAAATATTAAAAAACCAAGGAAATTGTCGTTTACTTAAAACTTATTGACCCTTCATATAATTATACTAAAAAAATCATTAATGTAACAATATAATACTTTCTTAGATTTACGCGAATATTTGACATTTTAAATAAAACTATCTTTTCGGACATCCGCGACAAAATCCGAAAAGATAGTTTTATTTAAAATGTAACAATATATTAAATACTGTCTGTGGCAGGAATTCCTAATTAAGCAAAAGGTTGCAGGTTCGAATCTGCCGGGAACTATTTACATAGCCTATTAATAGAGTATGTACTTGTTATCTGTGTTTACCCCTATAATATCGTACGATATTGTCATGCATTACATACCAACTTATAAAGTGGAAAACGCCAAATTCACAGTAGTTTACCAGGTACTAATTGACATCAAGGTTGCGATAGTACCTAACCGCTTCAAGCAAACGCACATTATGAGGTTATTTTAGTTTAGGATAATCAACATACATCAATGTATAGTAAGAAACATCGAAAGACTTTTTCACGACACCTTCGCTATGAAATTAGGTGCGTAAATACTAACTTCTTGAACAAACATATTCTAATACGTTCAATTAATTATTTGAAAAGATTTATTTTTTATGTGTACTTAATTAATCTATACCAATTTATACAAAGAAAAATGTATTTTATTGTTTGTAATCGATAAACTCCGAAAGTTCTAAACAATATGAACAAATCTTCACCACTGGAAAATCACATTATTTAAAAGTAACATGGGCTTTATTTTATTTTAGTCGTTATAATTTTTTAGAAAAATCACATAGGGACGCTGGGTACAGGTACTAAAATATTTTAATATTCTACATAATTCTTTACCTGTGAGACTCCAAGATGTTCAGCGATATTTTCACTGCAGTAGACGATATCGCCTTGTTGAGACAATACTAAAACGAAGCCATCCAAAGCCTTCATATACGAAAGCTCAGACTGGATTTCTTCCAAGCCTTTTGGGCTTTGCAGTTTTGGCGCTTCTTTGTCTTCGGGAACTAGAAGTTAAAAAACGAAAACAAAAGTTAATAAAGCTGACAAAGTAGCATGTCAAACACTACCTTCCCCGCGATTAACAATTTCATACCTAAAAAAATTGAGTCTTACACAAAATTTATCATTGTTTTGCCCCTTCATTTATTTTGATTTTTGGTTCCCGACGTTTCAAATGCTTTACAGCATCCATGGTCATACGAGAGACTGAGGTGTTACATGTCTTGAAGGTATAGTTGTTACAGACAGCCTACCCACAATTAACAAAATGAAAATTGCACCAATTACCTTACAACATTTTTTAACGTTAAACATTTTATAATTTTAATTAGTTTTATAATTGAATATGGAATATTATTTATTTAATTTTTGCTGTTATTCTTATAATTATTACAATTTTAAAAATATTAATTAGTAATCTATATTTAGTGTTGCCATTATTATATTTATAACCATAAAGAAAATATAAAATATAGTATTAATTATTTAAGCCATATAATTATTCTATGTGTAATTTAAAAAGTTAAAATTAATTAAGGATAATAATTTTAATTTAGTTTGCTATTATTTAAAAAGAAAACTTACTAAGCAACACTATTACTATATACTTTTACAAATGAAAAATGAAAAATATTAATCTGATATGCTGTCAATTTGATCTATACATATAATAAAACATTAACTAAGCCGAATCTGTATATTAGATATTTTTTGGAAAATCTTATTGAAATAACATTACTATCAATACAGAGGCCGAATCTATGGTTTTTAGAATTTTTGTCTGTCTGTCTGTTACCGCATCACAGAAAAAACACTGGAGGGATTTTGACGAAATTTGGTATGTTGATAGCTGGTTATCCGGGTCAACACATAGGATACTTTTTACTGCGGGAAAATATCTCATTTCTGAGAAAAAAATCCAAAAACTTTAATGTAAGAGTATAATAATATGTAAATTCTAAGAATTTGTTTTTTGGTCATCTGAACGCGGACGGAGCCGCGGGCAATGCTAGTCATTTATATAAAGGAAAGATATGACAATAAGTGAATTAACTGGTAAACTTAAACATCTTATAAAAGTAACAATGGCTCTAATAATTTATTGTTTTAAAGTCATTTGTAACCAATCCGTCATTGTGGTAAAATTTGCATTATTAACGCATTCAAGTAACGCGTGCCAAGTTCTATATAAATCGGAACTTGTGGTAGAACATATAGATAAAGTGGAGGAAAATATTGGATGTAAATATAAAAAAATGAATACACAATAATATCAGCATACTAAGGACCTAATTGTAGATGTTATAAAACGATTATATTGTACCGTATCAGTGATCCTATTATTTTTAGGAAATATTCCTTTTACTTGACTAATATTGACTAACATAAAGTCAACATTTTTAAAAAGCTTAAAAGCTAAAGAATAGGTTACTAATTAAGCACTCAATTTAATACTCGTAATAATAATTCAAAAATATTATGTCCAGGATTTTTTCAGCAAACCCATTTTTAATATATTTTCTAATAGACTAAATTTATTATAAAATAGGTCTCATTCTATTATCAGCCCGGTGAAGGTCGATTTAGGTTCGGATCTTAGACCATAAAGTATAATATTATGTAGTGGCATTCCAAGTACCTACTTAATTTCTTTTTGTCGCCATATTACAGCAAATGTAATCTATCTTATGACGCGACATGTTTCTACATTACATACATTATTCATAATGTCGACCTAAAACTCCATAAAAACGTACTTTAATTACGATTCCTGTAGTGTTTCGCATCGATGTAACTGACACGCTTGCTGCACATGATACAAACGGCTTTAAGCTTAGGTACATATTAGATATTTATTGTATAATAATCTCATATTTCTGTTGTATATTTAAGTTCTTAACAATTAAAACAAAATAGAATAATCTTTGCTGATATTACTTAGCCAACTACGAACGAAGCCCACGATTTGGTCTTAGTATTTCTATTATTTATTATAAACCTAAGGTGCACAACTATTAGGTGTATTGATTTCTGTACGTTTAAGTATCATTTGCTTAATAGCTGTGCTTAATAAATTCCTATTGTAGATTTTATTTATCTAGTATGTAATTGTATATTCAGTTGTACAATATCATTGTTCTATTAAATATTATTAGAAACAAGCAGAATGGTACTAATGTATATATTTCATTGCATAATTATTATTTATTTGTCAATTTCTCTACCACTCCTTTCTCAGATCTATCTATCTGAGGAAGGAAGATCTAGAGATCTAGTTATCGCTAGTATCCAGATAATACGATTAGATAATTCACAATTGAACATAGTTATTTAAAAATGAATGAGTTACTGTCATAAATGGCACCTAAATATCAACTTATGTACAAAAAGTAAATAAAATACCCAATATTTAAGAGGAATTTTAAAAAAAACTACGGACTCGTTATTTTGATATACCAATTTTACTAAAACTCATTTCTCAAAAGTAAGTTTTTGTGGTTGAATCTATTTTGCATAACTAAGTACGTTCAATAAAATGAAATAAAGATTCACACTCACGCATTGAAACAACATCGCGCACGCGCAGGTAAGAGATTGCTAGACGCATAACAGATGCCTTGTCTAGTTGTTCCACTTCCTCTTTCTTCGCTGGCAGTGCCGCTGTCAGCTCAGCAAAAATCTGCATCTCTTTGGTGCGCCTGCATCGCGCTGCCACGCGCGATTTCTCCTTGCGCTTTTCATTATTCCTGATAAAAAAATAGATAGTTTAGTATCCAACAAGTAATTTATCAAGCACTAGTAACACTAATAGTAATAATCTATTTTTGTAAATTTCATCCAGCCGTTCGTTTAGTGAGGAGAAACAAATATACATACACGCGGATAAACTTATTATTATACATATATATAATGTGTAGGTATGTTGATAATAATAGTCCGATAGACATATATACTAATATTATAAAGAGGAAAGATTAGATTTTTTGTTTGTTTGTAACGAATGGGCTCCGGAAGTACTGAACCGATTGAGATGAAATTTGGAAATGAGATAGTTTGAGACAATGTGAAGGATATATAAGGAGGCATAGGATAGTTTTTTATCCCGGAAATCATCCCTTAAGGGGGAAAAATAGGGATAAAAGTTTGTATGGGGAATTAACATAGAGACGAACCTAAGCGAAGTGTGGTGAGTCGCTAGTTAGGTAACTATATATTTTGTTTTATATTTTGTGAAGACTACATTTGTTTATATGTATTATGTATGCTAACACAAATCAAGTTTTATGTTTTGTTTTTAATAAATGTTAATTCTACCTAACAAATAAATGCTTCCTAGATAGATATGCTAGAGTCTTTTAAAGTAGGTAGTATTTCCGGCGTCAATGTTGTTTTGATTATTATCATTTTATAATATTATATTTTTACGATATTTTTATACATGTGTGTAACATAAAACTTTTTAACAAAAAAATAAAAACCGATTTCAAAGAAAAGCACTAAAAAGTAAAAAATAACTGATTGGTAGTTTTCATTTACTATACATACCTAATCAAATATTTTCGAAGTCGGTGTGCTTTGCTTTGTATGGGCCGGCACCGATTTCGAAAATATTTGATTAGGTATGTATTTAATAGATAGGTTTTAATTACTTAGCCAAAGCACACCGACTTCGAAAATATTTGATTAGGTATGTATAGTAAATGAAAACTACCAATCAGTTATTTTTTACTTTTTAGTGCTTTTCTTTGAAGTCGGTTTTTATTTTTTTGTTAAAAAGTTTTTATTTTTCCCTTTTTAGTGTAGACTGTAGTAGCAAAGTAAGGATTCTAACGTGTTAGCCTTGTCAAATCAAACAAAATAAGCCCAAACTCAAAGTATCTACTATTAGCCGTTGAAGAGTTCCACCTATCCACCTTCTGGCCTTGCCATCAGATTAGGTCAACAACAACGAACCACTGTACTATCAACGGAAATAGAAATACTTGCAAAGTTTCAAGTCAATATGACAATTAGAAGTAGGTTAAATTCATCATTAGTTGTTTTTCCACCCTTAGGGGTGGTATTTTTTTTTGAAATTTAAATGGGACCAATCTGGAAGTATACCCTTTCAAACAAAACAAAAATTGTCCAAATCGGTTTAGAAATGACGGAGTTCTGAGGTAACAAACATAAAAAAAAAAAACATACAGTCGAATTGAGACCCTCCTCCTTTTTGAAGTCGGTTGAAAATTAAATTAAAATTAATAAACTTTATCAACATTTAGTTTTATAACAAATAGCCATTTTTTAAAGTTTGCTTTTAAGAGTTCTAGCTATGTATATTATGTAAAGTTAGTTTAAATAAATTAATTTTAGATATAGAAGAACTTACAGCGTAGGTATATCTGTACTACATATTTGGAAGCAAAAGTAATTTAATAAACATGAAGTAAGTAGTTTATAGTAGGTAGGTGTGTTGTTAAAAAACTTAAAAAAAACCGACTTCCAGGCACCAAAATGTAAAAAATAACTATACGGAGGTTTTCATTTAGAATAGATACCTAATCAGATATTTTCTAAGTCGGTACACATTAATCCCTCAACGACCGCGGATACGCCGGCGTTCAGATGACCAAAAACCAAATTCTTACGTCTTATACGAGTACATTTGTACACTCTTACATTGCAGTTTTTGTATTTTTTCTCAAAAATGAGATATTTTCCTGCGGTAAAAAGTTTCCTATATGTTGACGTGGATAACCAGACAACATTTCATCAAAATCCCTCCAGTGGTTTTTCTGTAATGCAGTAACAGACTGACATAGAGACAGACAGACAAAAAATCTAAAAACTATAGATTCGGCCTCTGTATCGATAATAATGTCTATTTCGATAAGATTTTCCAAAAAATATCTAATGTACAGATTCGGCTTAGTTACAATTTTATTATATGTATAGATAAGTTTTTTGTTAATTTTTTTTAAACTGTTCGACTGATTTCGATAAATCTAAATGAAAACCCCCGTTTAAGTTTTTTAAGTGGTTTTTTAAGTTTTTTATATGTATGTAAATATAATAATAAATTAAAATAGAAATAAATTTTCTAGTTATCATGTCTGGTCTTTCATGTAAAAATGTTCTTATAATCCTATTTCCTAACAACAGAACGGAATTGGTGTAATATTTTGTAGAGATAGTACCTATATAAATATTGCCCAAATAATAAATGTTTGATATTCTATTTATTACCTCGGCGAACCGATGTTCTATCATAGTTGAGTCTAATAGTTTTGGTGCATTAGTATATTATATATTGATAATTAATAACTATGTAATAGAATTTTGAATAATATTAATAAGAAAGCGGTTAGGTTAGAAACGTCAATTTATTGAAATATTTTTATTTCAATAAATTGACGTTTAAAATTGATAAAAAACAAATAAATACATACTTCTTGGAGAGTATTACATGTAAGCAAATTAACATAGCAGAATAGTTCACCTAATAGTATTGTCATTAGGCATTTTTGTCTTAAGTAAAATCAGGCAGGCACCTACCTAATAAGTTAAATTAAAAAATACATCAAATAAAAAAAAACGCACATTAGATGCGTAATTTTTTTTGCAAACAGCTTGACACACTGACACACAATACAACAAACTCTTTATTTCTAATACCTTTTAGTCACTGCACAAAGTTTGTCCCGTTTGTTTGGAATCTCAGTTATACCGGGTAAACACATTTTGCACTCACTTTATTTTAGTTCATTTGATATTTAGTTTAAAACACAAGTATTGAGGAAAGGAATACTCATTACTTAACACAAGACAGTTCTTGTTCAAATCACCAAGCAGTGTGACTTGCAATTACTAAAATTTTATTCCATTAAATATTAATTTGTCATTAGGTCCTAACTCCTAAGCAACAGTAAATTTTATCACTTGCTCTAAATAGCATATTTAACAAATGCGTCAACAAATGTGATTTTACATTACTATTAGCTGTTGTTGATTGTATTGTTTATTCTACGTCCTACCACTTATCTTCCTCATAGATTAACTTACTAATATTACTAATAAGAAATCAGGTTTATTGATATTTCTAATTTCCTGCAGTATCATGTAACAGATCGATGCAATTATATACATAGGTAACAAGTTCTAGTCTCCGCAGGATATTAGCATATTTCAAAAAGACGCAGTTACGGCCTTTTTTTTTAACGTTGGGAAATGCATTTACGCACGTGGTGTGGGACTCACCGGCAAAGCCAGTACTACCCACTAAAACCCAACAAAACCTTCCCCCGTCTTCATGGGGAGTCGCAGGATCGCTTACGCATTTAACTACGACGCCCCGACGGCAGGTCTGCCGAAGCAGACCACAACAACCATGGGGTTGCTCCAAAGTCCACTCTGCTATCAGAGAAGTACCAGGAGCAACCCGCATGGTACACCGCCCACCGAACAGGGCCACCTTCCACCGCCCACCGAAGTGGGCCACCTCCCTGTGCGTTTCTTGGCTTCGCGCCCGGTGGATTGCCGGCCACTACTGAGCCCCCTCACCACGACAAGGTGAACGCACGTTGGGGCAGACGCAGTTAGGGCCTGAGTGAAGATAGAGCGAACCATTGACGTATAATAACTAACAGATATTAAAGACACATAACGCGACCATGTCAATAAATGTATTTTCTTTTAATTTGTTTCCTTTCAATCACTTACTTTTAAGAAAATATAAAATAATAATCTTAATTGTACAGATTGATGTGAAACATCTATTTGCACGCGTTGGCAATAAAACCGACTTGTGGTGTGACGGCAAACTGTGGCATGACACTGTTATGCCATGATGCTCCTTCTACGCCACCGTTCTCCACATCTTTGTGTGTGCGCGCGTAAAAGTCTATTTATGAATATACTATATACTGCAATTATTGTTATAATGAAAAAAATATAAGAAATATAGGTAAATCAATTTTATTTTTCTTATTTCAATTATAATAATTAATTAAAATAATAAGAAATAAATAAATTAATAATGGATTTTAACATTAACATAGAGATGTTTCACATCTGCCGGGCGTCCCGTGACGGACAACTTTTTTTTGTACCATATATTTTTCTAATAAGGAAACCTGATAACGTTTAAACGATGAGTCACTATTAAAAAGAGTATTAGCTATCAAATCTGTTGTTACCGATTGACGCAAACGTACGTCGTCGGGACGTGCTTTGACTGATAATGTGACTGGAGCCGAGACAGTGGGAAACTTTTGAACAGTGCATCTCACATCCTTTATTATGTGATTTTCATTTTTATGTATTTACTTTTTGAACAACAATGATCGTGTAGGCACTGTGCCACAAAATTATTAAGTTTGATATAGGTACAGCCTTGAACTTTCCATGTTCCCTTCTGCGTTCGGTCACGTTTGAAAGTTTTGGGCTAAATAAAATTGATTATTAAATGTAGTTTAATTGATCCTTTTTAACTATTTTCTATTAAATAAGATATTACCGGCGTACGCAAACTTTATTGAAACTATCACACCCACATTTTTACATGTGGATTTTCAAAAAAATAATAATTCATATATAAATTTTCATTTCCTACGTTTAAATAAGCACAATACACATATAGTCTAAATATTTTAGGTACTAGAAAAAATTAAATTAGTTAAATAATAAACAACATTAGAGTTAACTTATCATTGAGATAAATACATTTAAATTTCAAACGTTGCAGTATCACATTTGCTAACCAGATTTATAACAATAATGCAAATATCGAAATAACATTCGGCAGCTTGTATTTATTATATTTATAAACAAAACGATATACACCACAGCACGAGCAAAACAAACTACCATAGTAACAGGTTACAGATGTGGAAGTGGACTAGTTTTGGGAACGATAAAACCGACGGTGAACGATAAGGACGGCTATATTGAGTGGAACGCACTGAGGAAAAATATCGCTTCAATGAAGCGGTAGAGGCAAAAAAACGCAAGAATTATATCTACATAAATTAAATATTGTAAGCAGAATCTTTAGGTACATAAATGTTTAATAAATTTTCAAGTATGAAATCTAATTATTGCCTGTTAGATTAAAATTGTATTAACCCAGAGCTTTCGGAAAGCTGAATTAATTTTGTACGAAAAATAATTTTAAAATGATTATTAAATGACTAATAAGGGCAGTTGAAGTACCGTAACAATAATTTACTTTTGCTTTTATGGCTATTTATTGTTTATTATTATATGGCTGTAATGATATAATAGATTAGGATTACTTATCTACTTTATCATAATTCATCTCAATTTTCATAATGATTATTACTTTGATTCCACTTATATCACCTATAAATCCAAAGTCAACCTTTAGATTACGGATGAAATTAAAGTTCATCAGACATTGCAAATTTTTTGTGCAAAATTAAAAATAACTGAAACATACGTAACTAGCGGCTCACCCTCGCTTCGCTAGAGTTCGTCCTGCAGTTATGATTTAAAAAATTTAAAAAAGGTAGGTTTCATACAAACTTTCAACCTCTATTTTACCCCTAATGGAACGAATTTCGAAAAATGTTAAAATATGTATTAATTTAATTCTATTGAAGAGTATTAATACCAAGTTTCAAGTAATTCTTATAATAAATATTTTTTTGGGTTGTAAACGTTTTGTTGTATAACGTGTTTTCCCGTGGGAAGGAGTTAATCTCCCTATGTCACTCTCCAGTCCTCCAACTATATCCACACAAAAAATCACGACAATCCGTCTCTGTTTTGACGTGAAAGGAAAAACAAACAAACACACTTTCACATTTATAATATATGTATGGATTACATATATAGATTATATATTACATAGAAAATAGATATGTAGCTATTATGAAAACATATTTGGGCTTATCTTTTAACTTTTAATAAATGTTGCTATGAAGAATAAGCCATAAAAAAGTCATTGGATTAGAAAGATGTAACAAGTGGAACAAATGACTCGAATTTCAAACCAGTTTACGTCGGCCAAGTTAAAGGACTAATGTACCTACTCATAATAATATTATAGGATCGAAGTGCTGAACAATATTCAGATGACAAAAACAGTATACCAATTAGATATATATTTTAAGTTAAACCTAATATAAATAAAAACCCGTCAATTGTGAGCAAGACTTCTGTGCCAAGGTTCCGTACCACCATAAATACATACACATTATGTTGTCATTTACCATTAAGAAATATTTTTAATAAATTGAAAACAACGTTTTTGTTGATTTTTATAAGACAACCTCCACCACCAGCTAAGACGCCAACCAGGTCCGACGGCCGGACAGACATGATAGATTTAGTAAAAAACGGACCACGAATGTATGGATAAGGAACCAACTTAATACTACATATATATTATTTATATTCGCATATCAAACAGTGACAATGAATTCTTAAATTAATTACATTTTTCAATTACGTTATATCTTAGTCGATAGATATCGAAGATAATTATACTTATTTCAATTAAGCTGCAACTTTCGTGTTCACGATTTAATCTCTAAAGAATGAATCATAATCTTCTTTATAAATAAAAATGAATGTTGCTAAGCTGAAAACTCGATAACGGCTGGACTAAGTAGTCTAATTTTTTTTGCAAATATTCGCTGAAGTCCAGGAAAGGTTCTTATGAAGAGAAAAGTTAGAAAAAAATCACGGAAAAACGTAAAAATCTAATTTTTCTTTTTCCTTATTAACACATTATAATTATGAACGCGCCCTTAAAATTAATATAAACTACGTGAATACATTTGTATATTTGACACTTTCTCTTTCTACGATATACAATTTGATGTTGACTTTATTTGTTTGTTTGTTTTTTTCACGTTGAAATAAAGTGCCAGATTGTCGTTTTTTTTGTGTGAAGATAGAGGGCTGTAGAGTGACATAGGCTACTTTTTACCACGGGAGATTATTTCGTTCCTACAGGAAAACAACTTATATCTATTCCACGCTAACAGTTAAAACGTACCTTGGGACGAACCTGAGCGAAGCGAGAGTGATTCGCTAGTACTGTCGTACAATAAAATTATATAATGTTTATATTTTACATAACTTAATAGTAAAATAAATAAATTAAAAGTCCCACGTATCTTTCACATCATCAAGTTATAAAAGAAACAGTCGCTAATGTAATGGTTAAATTTATTTTTGATAAGCCATTATAAAAAAGTGCTCTTGAAACTCAGACTACAAATAAATTATAAAATAAAAGCAAACGAAAATGAGGAAAATATATACGTATTTAAACCATAGCTTAATTTCAAAGAAACTCTTAAGTTTATTTTTACAGTTACCAAATCGCAATTAAATTATGGTAGGTATTTCGGGTTTGTCAACAAAGTATTAAGTAAGTACGTCAAAAGGTAAATAAGCATATTTTTTAACTGAACTAAAACTGGTTTGCCAATTCGTGAATGTTACACTTTATTATGTTAAAACTGATTGCCTTTATTTTTTGTTTGGTACGGAAAAGTCAAAAAGTGGCAAAACCCTACCTGTATTGTCTGTATCACTACATAGTATAAAACGAAGTCACTTTCTCTGTCCCTATATCCTTATGTATGCTTAAATCTTGAAAACTGCGCATCGGATTTTGATGCGGTTTTTTTTAATAGATAGGGTGATTCAAGAGGAAGGTTTTAGTATATAATTTGTTAAGTTTTTATATACATTGGGTAAAATATAA